CCAGTTATGTGGCCACAAAACCTCTTTGACAAGGTCACTGTATTGAAAAGCAGTTCTCCTCACATGTTGTTCTCTTAATAAAGGGTTGGGTTTCATACATAAACAATAAGTGAGCCTGTTGTTTTCCCTTCTCACCTGGGAATTTTCACAGCTTTTCAGCCCAACAAAAGGCACAGGCAGACGCCTCTGCAAACATATACACACTTCAAAAACAATGGTGGTTCATTTATTTTTGATTTCAGAAGAGATCACCTTGAGAAACTCCTTTTTCTTTTATTAACCTGCATCAGTAGTGCATTATAAATTAAATTCTTATATTTACTATTTCCTTGATTTTTCAAATTTATGTGCACCACTTAAGTCTATGCTACGAATATCATCTGTGGCAAAAAATAAACAATATTTTTTACCCACATACATTATAAATATGCTCTTCTGCTGTGGTAAAAAAAAAAAGATAGAAAAAAAGAAGTGTTTTCTGACTTTTCGAAACATTACTCACTGAGGATCAAATCGCAGCAGGGCCTTTGATGAGGGCTCCACTTTCCTGCCTGTGTTAAAACTGGAGCGTCAGATTACAGCCGCACTCTCACGGGTTTTGTGATGCAGCCCAGATTGTGTGATTTAGATGTCTGTTTGTTGAGTCTGGATGTTTCAGGTTGATCAGATAAAGACGGCTATATCAGGCAGATCTGAGTGTGGCGGTTGGTCCTGCGCCATTAAAAGTCGACGACCTGCAGGAAACATTCACAAAGCTCCAGAGAGTTGCACAGAGACGCGTGGTATTATAACTTAAGATAAAGACAGCTTTCCTGCAACATTACAGCTGGTAGATAAGGTCTAGCATAAGGTGAAAGACGGCAGCTGCCTTTTTCTTATTATTTTAATGCCAAATTAAAAGGTTATGTTTAATGAAGATGATAATGAAGAAAAGTAACAGGGTACACAGTACACTGAACATTGTTTTGGACCCGTGTGTGTGTGTGTGTGTGTGTGTGTGTGTGTATGATTTCCAGTCTAACTTTATATCTTAAAGAAAGTCATGTGACTGAAACACAAGCACATAAGTGGAGAACATGGCTATACAGTGGCTAAATAGGTCATTTGCTGGGTGGGATTTGTAAAATAAGCAGGATAGCAATGGGTTCAGCATATGTATTCATTTCATGTATATATGGCCATCTGATCCCGTCTGCTCTCAATGGGACTTGTCTGCTTGTAAGAGCTTCATATTTGATTTCAGCCCTACCTCATCAGAGGGGCAGGTGAGCAGGAGTGAATAGCAAATACCTACAGCCAGCTGTGTTTCCCAGGGCTCTGCAGGGCCAGCAGGTGCCTGTACGGCCCCAAGTGCGGATCTGAGACTGACACATGAGGCCAAAAGCCAGGATGAGTCTGAACACAGTGACGCACAGGAGATGTGTTGGATGAGGGCAACTCTGCCACGGGTGGGGAGGGAACAATAATCCAACATATAATGTTCTGATGTGCTCATAAATATCTCTGAATGTGTAAAATGTTCCAGATTTTTCCCCTCAAAGACAGAAACAATGTGACTGCAGCTCAAAACACTGATATATATTTACTGATTAAATGTGGTTAGATTTTTAACCCTTGTGTTTTGTCAACATGACTTACCCATTTAGGCTCCTGCGATCACCACTGTATGTACAAAAAAATAATAATAATTGCAAATTCCATCCACTTTTTCTTCAATAATAATAATAATCCTTCACTTTGCCACAAACTGGGTCTTCACAATTGATGAAGGCCATAAAATAAAGCAATGACCATGAAACAGTGGTTCTTAGGGGCCCCCAGAAGTCCTTGAGGGGGTTCCAGGGGCTTCTCAGTGAAAAGGGGAATAATTTATTTTCACTATAATTCCATCCTTAAGTAACACAGTGACAGAATGTATGACTATTTGGGTCATGGGTTTAAACGCTTTCTGTAATGAAACATCTAAAGGCAAAAATGTTATCCGACGGAGGACCCTGGTACAAAATCAAATGGGGGGCCATGTTCTAATTTGTGTCAGTTTAGGGGTCCTTCATATGAAAAAGTTTGAGAACCACAGACATGAATCATTGTCAATACACCGGTTACCCTAGAGAACCTCCCTGTAACCCCTAATGTATTGTGATGTAGAGCGGCAGCCAATAATGATTTTCATAATCAATTTATCAGAATTTTTTTTTTTAGATATCCAATTCATTTATCAATAAAATGTCAGAAAAAATGGAATGTTTAAAAATGCCAACCATTCTTTCCTGAGGCCCAAGTTCACATTGCTTTTGTTGAGTCATAAACTCAAAGATGTTGATTTTATTATATTGAAAACTGGGAAACAAGCAAATACTGTATTTAAATTTGAAGGGCTGGAACAAGTCAGTTTTTGATATTTTCTGATTCAAAAAATGACTTGAAGGGTTTATCAGTTACCAACTACAGTCATTTTTCTGCCAGTCAACTAACCAGTCAACAGCTCTGGAGTATTGGTTGGGTTCTTGGTGCCAGAGGGAATAATGAAGCTTCGATAGTCAGACCATGGAAGTAAGGTGTCATTTTTTGTTGTACACTTCTGATACATGACATCAGTTCAAAACAAAAATCTGCAGTTGTCATGAAATTAGGCAAAGTCGTTAAGTGTGAAGCTGATGTGAAGGAACCCCAAACAGAAGATTAGAGTTAAGCTTCAAAACAACTGAGATGGGCACGCAGGGCCTCCTTAACCTTGTAGGTGATCCCCAAGGTAAAAAAGAGCCATGGGCCCTTTTGTATAATTCCACATCTGGTTACTTAGTGTATATGCACAGAGAAATACGTGAAGACGGTGATGCACAGAAATATTTTAATCTGTACATCTTAAATTTCATGACAAATAGTCTGTAACTCTGCCTGCTGAAGAATATCATTTGATATGGCTGACAGCTCCAGAACAGCTGCTAAATGGACCTTGTGTTGAAATTGTTGTGAGTGCACCCAATCAAAACAGGCAGTGTTTGTATTTGCTGCTTGGTATATTCTGACTTTCTGGTGAAGAAAGATACTAAAAATAGAACATAAGTTGGAGGTTCTGTCATCAGCCAGAGAAATGCAAACTAGACTTTTATTGATTGAAACCACAAGTCAGTGACACAGAAATTGCATTAATTTCTTCTTGGGGCTTTGCTCATAATCTCATTATTTTCTAACAGCAGGTTTTACTCAAAAAAAAAAAAAAAAACTCCAGTACTTCTAAATCTGCCACTGGTCTATATTTTTTTCATCTCATTAACAAATTGCATGAAAACATCGAGATGAATTGATCCCACAGTAAAAGATTACCTGCAAATACACAGCAAAGGGTCACACTGGGCGACATGTTCCCTCCCTGTGACGAACTGTCGTTTACTTTGACCGGTCCCCTATACGCCATCCTGTACTTACTCATTAGAGCACCAAATGTGTATTAATCCACAACTGGAAATAGTCCCCTACATATGCTCTATTTACACCTGTATGAGTAATGTTTGCTAAAAACTACAGAGCAGAGCTGTTTAAGGATTTATTTTTGCCCTTTTTAAAAATGAAACTGTTATTTGTGACTGATTTTTAAAGATTGATGTCTACAGTGGTAGCCAATGGACTGACAGGAGAGTGTGGTCGCAAGTATTTAGCGTTTATTCTGCAAGTATTAGGAGATGGACTTTGGTCTTTTTATGTGATTTACACTCAGTTGGTAGTGTATTAAGGATACCTAGCTAAAGCTAACACAGTCAAATACAACAGCTCTATAATAAATTCTACCTTTATGGAGATTATAAGGTTCATTTTGTGTTCAAACGGTTTTAAAGAGGTGTTGACTCAATTTTATGGTCATTTTGGAGGCTGCAGCGTTGACAGTGAGAAAAAGGCCCCAGCATCACACTTTACACCTCTTTAACTTTACAGATCAGTTTAGAGGTCAAAGAGCTTTAAATCTGTAGAAGATGAAGACATTCTCTGTTCTGATACAAGTTGAACATTAATGTAACTCGTCTTTGGTTAGATGGAAAGCAGTAAAATCAAGGTTAAAATTGTATAAAACAGACTCAAGATTTTACCTTCTGTAAGGCTGAACACACCACACTGTAGCTGTATACATCACTGAATACCTTTACTCTAAGTGATGCCTTGTGCATCAAAATTACCCACACACAGCCCTGCATCAGACATGAGTTGACTTTTATGTTCATGTGAATGTGGGCTGCAGCGGCAGCCGATGACAGCTTAATTCCCGGGCAGGGCCCCCCCCTGCTGAGGCCCACCGTTTGTGCAAGCTGACAGACGGAGATCAGACTGAGGAGAGATGAGTGGGAACCCTCCAAGTACGCTCGGGTTTCTGGGCAATGTGAAAAGATTTGTCCAGGCCATTCAGATCTGACGGAGTTTCCCATGTTCTGCACTGCAGCGGGTTTTTGTTGAAGTGTTTGGATAAAGAGATCCTCTATCTTTTTCATCTTTGCACCCACAACAGATAAACCTAAGGCTGACATTGTGTTTAGTTTAGGCCCTTGATGCCACCAAAACTACACAGCACAATGTTGAACTTTTCTCTCGTCACAAACCAGGCTAAGAGGAGTTCCAAACAATTACTTTGGAAAAGGCAGGAAACAGGTAAACAAGTGTAGAAAAAATAGAAGTGACGGTAGAGAGAGGGGAGTGGGATGAAATGAGCTGGAAAGAGGGGTGACCTCACTTTAAAAGGGGTTGGCTAATAGAGGTTTTGGGACAACATGAGCGACTGAGGTATAAGGGGGCAGAGGGAGCAGAATAAGAAGGATTAGGGGACCTGGGGAAAGAAGGTTGTACTACTTTGATAGAGGTCAGAGCGTGCAGCAGGCGAGGCAGGGGAGCACTGTTTTCAAACATCTAATTTTGAGATAAGTGCCGTTTTTTAACACATACCTGAGGAATGTGGTTAATGCAATGTTGACCTTCTGAAGATGACAGTGAGCAAACCTCTCTTAGGTGCTGAAATGATACGAGTGCTCTTTATCCTCCTGCTGATGAGTAACGCTTCTTCAGTCTCCTCACAGTTTAATGGATACAACTGTGACGCCAACTACCACAGCAGGTTTCCGGGTGAGAAGACTACAGATAACTCTTTTCAGGCTGTATATTCTTTGCATTTTACATTCTGACTGCAGATATTGAACATAATGCTTCTGTCAATAGTGATAAGTGTTGGAAACAGCTTGCTCTGGTATTTTGGCACATGCTGTGCACATAACCTCCCTGCAGTGATGTGATAGATGTAGCATTTTACTTTAAAACATAAATTCATAAAATGTGATTACTTGTTTTTACATTTAACTATCAAACTGGCTCCACAAGGCCCTGCTACAATTATTTATGCTTATATATTGAATGCATCAATGTTGAAACACTCATTTAAAAGATGATTCTGTATGATGAGTACTATTTTTGATACTTTGAATACATTTTTCTGATAATATCTTTAAGTAAATTTGCAATGCATGGCTTTTATTTTTTATGGCTTTCTACATTGTGGCATTGGTACTTTGTATTTACGCATAAGTAAAGATTCTGAGTACTTCCTCCACCTCTCTACAGAGGAGACTTATTCTACAGACAGAGTAATGTAAACTCTTCATGGATAAGGAGAAACTCTCTTATACTGAGAAGTGTGTACTAGTTTTCATTGTCTACTACTAATACTACTATATAACTACTGAAGTCTTGTTTAAAATGAGTCAGCTTGCTCCTTCAAAGCTAAGAGTCCTGGGCCTGTATTCATCAAGCTGCTAAAAGTTTATTAAAATTATATTAAATTATTATAATTAATTATATTAATTATTTTACTACTTTAAAATAGTCTTAGATTTAAGACAGGTCTATTAAATTGGTTCAGAGCAGATCCCAAATGGCTGCAGCACAAATAAATAAAGCTGCAACTAGTTTGGCTGATCAGTTTCCATGAACCTTTATTGTCTGCACTTGTTTTATGATGAAAACCAGCTGCAGTATTTCTTTCCCGCTCCAGTTTTATATTTCTTTTGCTTCCATTTCAGACATGGTCTCAGGGATATTAACAGTTTTACACAAACACATTATACTTTAAAATAAAATAAAAGCCTATCTCCCAGAGGTAAAAGAATGAACAATATGGTAGAAGTAGGGTAAATTGTTGTCTCTGATTAGCTATTTGTGCTCTGAGCATACATGTGATTAACCATGTTATCACTTGAGACTTGCTCTTTAAATGTTACTTTTACACTTTGGTGTGAGCAAGAGTAAGTTGCTTGGTAAGTGGGTCTTACTGTTCACATGAAGTGGAGAACTGAGTCTGATAAATATAGGCTTTGGGATTTCATTCCCACCATCTAATCAGACACTATTTGATACCTGAATGGCAGGTGAATACTGGTGTGATGGTAAATAAGCAGGGCTAATTGTCCAGGGTACCTATAGCAACTGACCTTCCTTCCTCTCCGTTCCTGCAGGTGAGCGGGACATCAGTGTGTACTGTGGGGTTCAAACCATAACCTTAAAGATCAACTTCTGCCCGGTGCTTTTCTCCGGCTACACTGACGCAGATTTGGCCCTGAACGGTCGCCACGGTGACGCCCAATGCCGAGGCTTCATTAACAACAACACCTTCCCCACAGCTGTCCTGTTCAGCATCAGCCTCAGCACTCTGGAGGCCTGCGGTAACAGCCTGGTGGTAAAGAATACACAAACACCAGAACATGCCGTTAATATGTATACTGGGTAACTTCGTAATGTTGTTTATTGACTTGTGAGAAAGCAAAGTGGCTGTCTGAAATGTTTCTCTCTGCAGGTCAGCACAGCATACGGGGCCAATGCCTATGGGAACATGTCTCTGGTGCAAATTGGGAATGTCTCAGGCTACATTGACACCCCTGACCCGGCATCTATAATCAGCTACCTGCCCGGTTTGTTGTATAAATTCAGCTGCAGCTACCCGCTGGAGTACCTGGTCAATAACTCACAGCTGGCATCGTAAGTTGTTGCCAAAAAATCTCTCAGTGTCCAAAAGAGAGTTTGACCTTCCAGAAGTTACTCAGTGGATTTGATGTTTAGTTTTATTTATTTAATCAAGAGCGTTGTTCATTGTTTTCTTAAACTGTGATGAAGTAAATCCCCTCGTTTAAAAGCCTGAGTGGGTTTGCATGTTATAATATTGTGAGAATCTTTAATTTTAGGACATACATATTTCTAAGGACTTAGTTGCTAAATTACATAATCTCAACTGTCTTTCAGTCACGTAAATACTATAAAATAAATATAATATAACTTTACATCATCAACCCCTGTTTTCAAAATGTTAAACAATGTCAAGTACAGCAAACTACACTAAAAGATAAAAACAGTATTAAAATAAATGTGTTGAACTCTTCACAGCTCCTCTGCTGCTATATCTGTCAAGGACAGCAACGGTACATTTGTGAGCACGTTGAGTATGATCCTGTATAATGTGAGTTCACCGCCATGGGCAGCTTATTATATACTATCATTTTCATTGCAATTCATAAACTATGAAACTTTTAATTACAAAGTTCAGAGGGATATTCGAAGAAAATTGAGTTCATGATCTTTGGGATCATCATTTCACCAGATTTATTCCTATAAGTCTGGTAATAATTCATATGTTTCTTATTGTCAACAACTCTCATGAAAAATGAATGAAAATTGAGTTGAAAATTGAGTTCACGATCTTTGAATCATGTTTGTGTTTTCTGTTAATGAATCTGACAATTTCTTGACCAGATTTATTGGTATAAGTCTGGTGATATTTCATATTTTTCTGTCAACAAATCCCCTGAAAAGACCAAAAAGAACAATGAACTGAGTGAACATATAGGCACTTTGCCTCAAGCCCACATACACTGTCCTGTCCTGCTGCCATTAAAACTCACAAGAGCATCAAATGTGTATTAATTCGCTATGGAAAATAGTTCCCAACAAACGACAGCACTGTTTTCTCCTGTTTTTTTTTATAAATGAAAGTATAGTTACCTGTTTTTAAATGTTAGTGGGTTTGGGGCTGAGTGCTGCAGACAGGGAAGGAAGTAATTAACTATTGACAGGTAGACGTTGTTGATTTCATTCCTTTCATCGAATTTGTTTGACAATAGCGTAAATCTAGAATACCATCAGCCTTTTATTACTTGAAGCTCATTATGTCAGAACTGTGCTGCTTTCAAGTTCCCAGCTTCATGTTTTGAGTGAAAACGTAAGCTTTTTCTTTCTCCACAGGATTCAACATACAATCAACCACTCTCTATTCCCATGGCTGGACTGGCTCTGAAAACCAGAGTATTTGCTGCTGTGAAAGCCACAAACTTAGACAAACGGTACCAGATAACATCTGATCATTCACTACTGAACTTTGATATTCTCCTAACTTTCAGATGACATGAATCTGTACAGAAATTTTGCTCACGCAGCAGATATTTTGCTATTACAACAACATCTTCAGTGAAGCAGGGATGATGTTTTGGTCAATCACAGCGTCTTTCCCATCGTCATTTATACAGAATTAGTCCTTTTTTTATGTTTTGTTCTATGTTCTATGTTTTCCTACATTCATCATGCCATTATGTTATTATTCTAAGTGAAGGCGCCAGCTTGCAGCAGAAAAAAGCCTGATTTGTATTTTCCCATGGGCAGTTAGATCTCTATCCTTCATCCCGTCTTACAGTTTTGTCCCTCCGCAGGTGGAACATCTTGATGGACTACTGTTACACAACCCCCTCAGGGAATCCTAATGATGAACTCCGCTATGACCTTTTCTTTGGGTAATCTTGCTTTTTCTCCCCTCAAGATGATGACTTGATAAACCACAAAAGGGAGTCATTAGCTATTCTGGTCCTCCAAATGGCTTATCCTCATGAATGCCACTTTTTTTCTTCTCAGTGAGCGCTTAAGCATGCATATACACATTAAATCTGTCAGTTTCACAGTGTGCATGTAGTACATATGTTCATGTATGTGTGTGTGTGTATCTGTCTCTTTTCACACAGCTGCTATAAAGACCCGCAGACGACGGTTTTCGAAAATGGGAAGAGTCAGATGGGCCGTTTCTCCTTTGAGGTTTTCCGTTTTGTTAAACACAGACACCAGAAGATGTCGACCGTGTTTTTACACTGCGTCACCAAGCTTTGCCGGGCAGACGACTGCATAATGCTCATGCCAGTAGGTGTAAAAATCATGAATCTCAGTATTTTGGACTCCCTGTGTGTCTCCTGACCTCAATGAGGACTGCAATCTGATGATGTGATTGGCAGATTTGTGGGCGACGGCGCAGGCGGGATGGAGAGGAGAGCCTTGATTCCCGACCAGCTGCATCTGGGAATGCCGTCATCACCGCTGGACCAATCATCACCAGGAGTGGTATGAAGGATAAACTGCCTCATAAAATAATATTCAGACATTTTGGAGATACAATTATTCACTTTCTTGCTGAGAGTTAGATACCACTCTTAGTTTGTCTGTAAAATGTGAAGCTACATCCAGCAGCTGCTTTGCTTTTTTCTTTTTAAATATGTACAAAAAACCCCACAAAGAATAAAACTGTCATATTGTGGTTGGTCAGACACAGTGACATTGTAACTGTTGCACTTGAAATAGCTATTTGTAAGCCAACATTAGCATTGACAGCTGTTTACTTACCAGTCTTGAAGAGAGCTTCAGCCATTGTTGTGTTTACAACATAAGAGGTAGTGTTACTTCTTCATGGCAGACTGGATGCTAAAGTGACTCAGTATTGGAAAGTGAAGAGACAGTCTGACTGGGGCGGGGCTAGCTGGATAGCATTCTAACTTCAAAGAAGTGATAGAAATAGAAGCAAAACAGAAAAACAAAACAAAAAGAGATAACATTGGCATTGCTTTCCACTGCTGGGGACATTTTTTATTATTTCAATATGTTAATAAGCAAGCTTTACAGGTGCCGGTGACCTGATTTTCTTAGTTTTGGACACAGTCTGTATTTCTAGTCTTTATGCTAAGCTAAGCTAACCAGCTGCTTGCTGTATCTTCTTATTTAACAGACAGCCCCTTAAGTTAGTTAGATAGAACAGTGAATCCACAGAGCTGTTGAAGATTGAAGGAGCTGGAGAAATGACTCTAATAAACACTTTTGAAATCATCTTTCAGATGAAACTCCTGTCAACAACTCCCAACTTGGTAAGCTCCCTTCCGCAATGTTATGAAATATAAAAAGGTTTAAAATATCATCTGTGACTAAAGATAGCAGATACCTCCTATGGAAATGGATGATTGAAGGCAGCAACACAAAGGTGTCATTTCTTTTTCTAAAAAAAAAAAAAAAAAAGGAAAAAAAGGAGCTCAGGTCATATTAAACCCACGTCAAAGAACATGTTTGTTTTAAGCTTCTGCTTTTGTTCATCTTTCCACCCACCAGCATCTGGAGACTCCTTCCATACAATGAACCCTGTGACCAGTGCTCTGATCTCAGGTGTGGTTATCCTGGGTGGAGTCAGCGTGGGCTTCGTCCTGCTGTCACTTCACCTCCTGCAGAAGTCCCGCCTCCCAGCGTCCACGGTCTCAGGTGTTTGGAACCCCAGCTTTAAATGAATAAACATCTGTATGAAATAAAATCTTTGAGTAATACCTTCTGTTACAGCCCATGATTTACAGGGTAATTTTATTGTATGGGTCAGGTAGTTTAAAATAAGATACTTATCAGTTCCTACTTGTACTGAAATGTAGGTACAGTAGAAGAAAACATGACATTGGGTAACAAGAGAGTAAGATAAGATAGATAAGATAAGATAAGTTAAGATAAGATAAGATATACTTTATTGTCCCTGAGGGGAAATTTGTGTTGGGCACAAGTGCTACATACAGCTGCATACAGGCTAGATACAAAACAAGTACAATCTCCATGACACAGAGTAAGCATAATGCACAAATGTGTGAATGTGTGAATGTGCACCTAGAGTATACACTATTCCTAGATGATAAAAAAAACAGAGTGGAAAGTGGAACATATCTAAAAGAATGACAACAATAAAAAGGTGAAAACTGAGTGTGAAAAAGAGGAAATGTTCATGAATTACATATCCAAATGAAATAAAACAAGTTGAATAATATTACACTGAGAAGTAATAATTGGACGTTTTAGAGGAAAGTAGAAATTCATTATTCTAGAGAGCAGGAAACAGCTACACATTACAATAATGACTGTTGATGAGAGAAACTACAATTTGTATTTTCCATCACAGAGTAAGGATAAGGAATGTGGACTGCAGTATAATGTGCAGCTGTTCTGTCTTTATTACATATACTTTAAAAGTGTTGTCATTTTCCCCAAGTTCAGTTTTGTTTCCCACCCTGTGGATGCCTAGTATTTACAGAGACACTTAATGTAATAATGTATTTCTCCTTTCCGCTAAAATGCTCAATTGTTGTTCCATGTTCCCCAGAGTCTTGTTTTCTTCCACTGTACCTACATTTAAATATCGGTAGCAACTGGTCAGTATTGTTTGTACCTCATTCATACAATGAAATTACACTGTAAATTATGCCCTGTATTATAAAATCCTACTCATCTTGTACTGACAGTATGTTGGGTTACATAGACTTAAACACACCAACACTTTGCATGTGTTTCTATTGTGTGGCTGTTACAGTGTGTATGTGTGCTTTCCTCTATACACACATTATTAAATTCATATTGTATTGTTTTAGGTCTTGTATATTTATTACCTTCAATACCTCATCATATTGTTTCGTCAACAACAAACAACAGTTTTTTACATTTCCTTTTACACCATGAGTTAATGAAAGAAGAAAAATTAGAGTGAAACCAAAATATATGTTTTGTGTGTTTTTTGTTTTAATGTCAAAATGTATAGCTGTTTGTAGTAGTATAACCTTGTACAATAATAAAACAACAAATAAGCATTATGCAGTGTTTAAAAACAAAACAAGAAAGTTGATTTATTGTTGTATGTTTTAATTCAGTTTCAAGCTTTGAGAATTTTGGGAAATATGTTTAGGGCATGTACATTCTTTTTATCTGGCTGTAAAACACTTCGTAAAACATGTAAACTTTATTAAAGAATATTTGAACATTGAATATTTGAACACACAACAAATTTTTGATTAGAAGATTGACACCACTCCGGTGACTGTACGCTGGCTATGAATCTCCAAAGTGTAAAAACAAGAAGTTGTGGTTCTACAGAAGGCTACAACAGTTATACCATGCTAACATGCTAATTGGTGAGGCAGATCTGGTTAGCTTTTGGACAGAGCCAACTTAGCTGTTTCTCTCTTTCTACAGCCTTTATGCGAAACTGTCCTCGCTGTTGCTACATATTTACCACAAAGTGAAGTGAAGTGAAGTCAATTCTCTCACCTAACTCTCAACAAGAAGCTAATATTTCCCAAAATGTTAAACTTTTCCTCTAAACAGGTATTTTAAAAGAAATCAAGATCAGTTGAAAAAATTATCTCAACTCGGCCCTCTTGTTCAGGAACGTCAAAGATTTGAAATCAAAAGTCATACGTTTGAAAGCTCTTGAATAGAGTAAGTATTTTGTTTTATCAGCTGTTGTTTCGAAGGTCAAGAACAATCCCACTGAACTGAACTCTTATATTAAAATCACGACTGGTTTCATGGATTTAAAGATGTGTCTGAAAATTGTATAATTGACCTATTCTCTATTTTTGTTGAGCAGATCTTCGCTGTCGAGTGAAAAACACGTGGTGATTGTGAATTTTTCGCATTAGCTGAGTTGTACCTTAATGGGTGGAGAAAATCTACTAGTTCAAAAACTAAATGTACCACTGAAAAACTTGGTGGCTCATCTGAAAAATGCATATCCACAAATTTAGCTCATGAAAATAATTTGTATGTACAACTTTTCTTTGGCTTTATCTGTGAAAGTTTTCCAAATGTCGTGGCCTCATGGGTGTCCAGTCTCCAGGAAAATGAACAAAATACCAGGCACTGCCAGAGCTCATTTGATCACTGCCAGAATTAATCTTTCAATTTTTGCCGTATTGATTTTCTTTTCCGATGACCTATATAAATGTCTGTTGGCGGCAGCTGAGTATCACGTGTCTGCCTCCGCGGTTGTTTTTGTGACCCGCGCGGCTCTGTTGCATTCACTGCTCTTTATCACCCTAATCCCTCATTTCAACAGCCATTTTGTGATGTATTCAGCATCACAATGCAATCATCCCCCCTCTCAGTTTACTATCAGTGATAATTGATTAAACCCCCCCCCCCCCATGGAAATGAGGCTGGGATTTGGCTTTGAAAGTTGAAGCCAAGTTCAGGTGAGTCAAGACCAAAGAAAACTTATTTTGTAAAGACCTTGAGGAACACATATATGTGGGTGTGTGTGTGGGCGAGAGGTCAGAACGTCTCTCAGCATATTTAAGAGCACACATCATGACAATAACAGCGTGTCCTGCATTTGACAGTGTAGTTTCGTGCGTTTGACAAAAGGTTGTCGGAGACGCCCATCCTCCAACTTGACCCCAATCAGAGCTTTCTCTTCCCAGGTGGCTCACCTGACAAGATCAGGTTTCTAACTGTCCTTCAATCATCTTCTTTCAGTTAAACCTCTACATTAACACAATTTTAAATGATGCTCCAAATAAATGGGAATTTCCATTTTTACTCTTAAGCACAAATATTCTGACATAGATCTTGTAGTTACGCACGGCTTAAACATGATGAATGTCAGTCACGTTTTCAGTGTGACAAAAATGTTTGCTGCCAGTAACGTGACTAAATTATGAGCATCAAATGATCTTTTGTGCCAATCTGTCAAATTAAGGGTCATCCAGGTTACATTAAACCAACAAACACCTCAGAAGACAACAGGGCCTCTTTCCTTTATTGTGCGTGAGGTCCCAGCTGAATAGAAACCACACATACCGTTACTTTATTAAGTTTCATATTAGTAGGCAAAGGGGGCTGCATTTCACACACAGAGTCACAAAGCCTTATGGACATTGTTTAAGCATGTAACTTTGAAGGACACTGTGTTTGGTTTCATCATTTGCCTCCAGGAAAGGACCACGGTACCTCAGCCACAAAAACTGAATTGTTCACACAAACTGAGACAGCCCCACCAAAGTGACATTGACCCTGTTTCCATCCAATCCTAAAACAGTGATGTGACCACACAGCGCTCATGTTCACCATATATAAAACAGCCCACTGCTCTCTTATCCTAAACCAGCAAAGGGACTGAGGAGGTAAGATCCTGGCTAAGATAACAGCAGAGTTTCCTTGATTGACAGCTCTGGATTAAGCATCTAATTTTTTTTACATTAAAATTACCTCAATGGATTTTTTTCTTCTACATTGTGCTGGATTTTTTTTATTTTTAGGATTTGCTGTGTTTGACATCTGTTGTGTTTGCCTCAGCTTTTTCACAGAGGCCAGAGCGGGGAGATGGCTTTATTCAACTTCCTTATCCTGACCTCCCTGTGTATTGCGGGCCGAGAGGCCCTCAGCGTATCTGACTGCGGAGTGTTCGCCAGAAGACCAGGTAAGATGGCTGTGACCTTCAATCTCACATTCTGGTTTCAGGCTGAAGGGGTCGTATTGATTTTAGTTCAGATGTAGACCTTTAGGAAGGCTGTATTGATTTTAGTTTTCATCCAGATATTTAATTAGCACACTCGGTAGAGTTTACAGCGGAAACATAGATGTTTAAACAGACTTGTTTAAACAATTTAGTTCTGGTGCAACTATTTTTTTTTAATATAATCTTTTACGTTTTTAATTGTATTTTTCTTTTCTATAATATGTGCCCATGAATTGTACATTGTGTAGTTTGTATGTTGAGCTAGGTTCTGAATTGCTAAATTCTATTCATATGAATGAAAATCATTTTAATAATGATAACGTCAACTTCATCATCATCAGAATACACTGATATTACTGTGGTGTGTGGCACGTCTGCCATTGACCTGGCTATCCAAATCTGCCCGGCTATCTACACCGGATACAACGCGAGTTTACTAATCCTGAACCGCATCCGGGACAATACGGACTGTCAGGGGACGCTGGACACCTCGGTGGCACCTCCTGTGGTGAGATTCAGCTTCCCCATCAGAGTAGGAAACGCCTGCGGGAGTAATTTCTTGGTGAGTATTGCATCAAGTATCCTGATTTCAAGTCTCGAGGGATTGTGATCATGGAGCTTGTTAACCTTTAGCTGAGGAGGGTTAGTGCAGATTAAGGAAACTGAAAGGGTGTCTGAATACCGTGTTCTTCGGCCCAGCAAGAGGAGGCGGAAAAGAAAAACGTTCAGGGTAGAAATAAGAGGATTTCAGCCAGAAATACAGCAAATAAGATGAATCACTCCGCTCTTGACTTCATGTAACACACATAGACGCACTCCCACCAGCCTCCTTTCTGAGGGGATTGAGAAAGTTAAGAGACTTGTTCCACTTTCTTGTTGTGATTTCATCACTGCTGCCTGCTGTGCTGAGAGACGTTGGCCACCATTTATTTTTAACTATTTCTTAAATAATTATGTTTCTCTTAAATAATTCCTCAGACCACGAGCGCACCAGGGACCGGAATATTCTCAGACTTCTCC